ACCACCAGAAAACCAGAAGTGGCACTGTGGCTCACGTGGTAAGAGTGCTCACCTTGAGCTGAAGAGCTCAGGGACAGCATCTAGGTCCAGAGTTCAAGCCACACAACTGACCAAAAAACAAAAACAAAAAACTGAGCATCACATGTGTTCATAAAGGTTTAGGCAGAAGATAGAAATGTCCAGCCCATGGAAGTGGCGCTTTGGCTCAAATGGTAAAGTGCTCGCCTTGAGCTGAAGAGCTGAGGGACAGCACCCAGGCCCAGAGTTCAAGCCTCATGACAGACAAAAAAAAGAAAAGAAAAAGAAAAGAAATGTCCAGCCCAAGGGGCTGGGAATGTGGCTTAATGGTAGAGTGCTTGCCTAGCATGGATGAAGCCCTGGGTTCAGTTCCTCAATACCATATACACAGAAAAAGCCAGAAGTGGTGCTGTGGCTCAAGTGGTAGAGTGCTAGCTTTGAGCAAAAAGAAGCTGACGGACAGCGCCCAGGCCTTGAGTTCAAGCCCCATGACCAGCAAAAAAAAAGAGAGAGAGAAAAGAGAAATGTCCAGCCTAAGCCAAGCTCCGGTGGCTCACACCTGTAATCCTAGCTACTCAGGAGGCTGAGATCTGAAGATCACAGTTCCAGTTCAAAGCCAGATTGGGCAGAAAAGTCCGTGAGACCCTTATCTCCAATAAAACCACCAGAAAACTGGAAGTGGTGCTATGGCTCAAATGGTAGAGTGCTCGTCTTGAGCTGAAGAGCTCAGGGACAGCATCTAGGCCCAGAGTTCAAGCCCCATGACAACTAAAAAGAAAAAGAAAAAAAGAAATGTCCAACTCAGGATGGGTGTGCAGCTCAGTGGTAGAACGCTTGCCTAAGCATGCACAAGGCCCTGGGTCCCATCCTCAATAGCACAGAAATCACAGTAGGCTTCTCTAAATAAAGGGGAAGCAGAGGCCTCTAACGGAACTGGGAGTCCCATGACATAGCCCTGGGGGCCATGGTCTCACAGTGATTTACTTTATGTCACTTTCTAGAATCTAACTCCAATCTCTCTTGCTATTGTTTGGGCTGTTTCCTGTGGAGAATGGTCCCTGGGCTGACAGGGGAGGTTGAGGCTGTCACCCTGGGAAATGTTCATTCTGCTGGGAGAGACGGGCCATAGAGACCGGCCATAAGCTGGAGAGGGTGACAGAAGAGGACTCTCTAGCTGGGCAGGCAGGGCTGGAGGTCTTCCCAGCTGCAAGAGGGGCTCCAGGGAGAGTGCTCCCAGCAAGGATCGGGGGTGGAGTCAGCTCAGGAGGTGCAACTGGGCAGCATTGGGTGGGGGCAGGGTGGAGGCTGAGGGCAGCAAGATGCCCAGATGAGGTGTCTGCCCAATCTGCGCTTTTCCTGCCCTGAGCCCACGCACCGTGGGGCTGGACCTCCTGCCCTCTCAGCACCGTGGGAGTGTGAGAGGCAGAGGGAGAGCCCCTCAAAGTCATCCCCCCAAGGGAACGACCTCTACTCCCCCTCCCCTGTTATTTCTGGCTCAATTTTCTTGGTCAAGAAGGGTGTCAGTGGTAATGCAAATTAGGAGGCGTTGGAGGTGCTGGCCGACACCCATCCTGTCCTCGGAGCCCCTCCTCCCCTCCTCCCATGCCTGCATTCACACGGAGGACCAGAACATCTGTGGGATGCACCCGATGACCCTGCCCTGGCTGAAGCAGCATGGAGGGTGGCTGCAGCTGTGGGTTGGTGGGGCTGGATTCTCAGAAGCCTCTGCATGGCCAGGGCAGGGGCAGAATGGGCTTCCAGGTCCTCCCCTGCTCCAGCCCCTTCCTGCCCTGGGCCCTGCCAGAGCCCATGGCACCTGCATACACCGTGTATCACCAGTGTCCCTCCCAGGCTGCACACACTGGAGTCTTCTGACCCTCTGCAAAGGGAGGTGAGATCTCAAAGGTACCTGGGCAACCAGGGGATGCTGCCCGATTGCTGAGAGTCTCTGAGTCATGGTAGAGACATTGGAGGGAGAGCAGGAAGAGGAGGAGGGTGCTACAGAGTTTTGTATGTCTCCCGCCACCACCTGGCCTTGGCCCCAGTCATCTTGTCCCACCTCTCCTGGTGAGGACACCGCCACACACGCACACCTTGTCCTTGATGCCTTTCTCATCTGTAACCTCCACATTTCTTCCTGTTGTCACCAAGCTGCTCTGTTTTTGTCCTTACTGAAGAGATGGGACTAAGGAAGCAGCCTCACACCCCCTACTCTATAGCTGTCACAGCGTGAAACCCCTGCCCCTTTGTTCTTCACCAGTCCTAGTCAGCTGAGTGAGGTGTTTCTCAAGAACACAGCTCCATCATCACCCCCACACCCCTCCCTTCCTCAGCCATCCAATCAGCTTCTCCCTGATGGGGCATGGACTTGGTTCAGCTTCTTAAAGGGCTGCACTCTCCTTGGCCAGTACCTGACACAGTCTGTGCAAGGACCCAGGACAAAAGCAGGTATCTTCATGACCTGGTAGCTCTGGCTAGGGACACCTTGGAGGAGAAGAACCAGAGCTTGATATTTGGAGATACAGTACACCTGTGGATACTCTGGTCCTCAGGAAGTTGTTACCCAGCTTCCCCCTACTCCCCATCCCCACCTTTTTTTTTTTTTTTTTTTTGCCAGTCCTTGGGCTTGAACTCAGGGCCTAGGCACTTTTTGCTCAAAGCTAGCACTTAACCACTTGAGACACAGCACCACTTCTGGCTTTGTTTATGTGGTGCTGAGGAATTGAACCCCAGGGCATTGTGCATGCTAGGCAAGCATTCTATCTCTAGGCCACATTTCCAGTCCCCCCTCCCTCATGTCTGGCTTTGGATCTGTACTGGGAAGAACCAGTGGATCCTCCACCCCCACCCCCACCTCCAGTGTGTTCTTCCCAGTCTCCTAAGGTCTCCCCTTCCACCTCCTTCCCTTTGAAGTAGCATAAAGATGTCAACTCCTAACCAGGTGCTGGTGGCTCACGCCTGTAATCCTAGCTACTCAGGAAGCTGAGATCTGAGGATCTCTGTTCAAAGCCAGCCCAGTTAGGAAAGTTTGTGAGACTTATCTCCAATAAGCCACCAGAAAACCTGAAGTGGCGCTGTGGCTCAAGTGGTAGAACACTAGCCTTGAGCTGAAGAGCTGAGGGACAGTACCCAGGCCCAGAGCTCAAGCCCCACAACTGACAAAAAAAAAAAAAATGTCAACTCCAAGCCAGGTGCTGGTGGCTTATGCCTGTAATTCTTGCTACTTAGGAGGCTGAGATCAGAGGATCAAGGTTCAAAGCCAGCCTGGGAAGGAAAGTATGTGAGACTCTTATCTTCAATTAATTACTAAAAAGTCCGAAGTAGAGCTGTGGCCCAAGTGGTAGAGCTCTAGCCTTGAGCAAAAGTAGCTCAGGGATGTGCCCAGGCCATGAGTTCAAACCCCAGAACAGGTACCAAAGAGAGAGAAAGACAGACAAGGAAATAGATGTCAAACCCCTTTGGCCTACTTCAATCCCTTGTAACCCTTCCCAGGTCTGAAGAGCAATGTGTTGCTCTTGGCTCCATCAATCCTGCCTGAGAGAAAAGGGACGGCTGAGCATCAGCAAAGCTCCCCATCCTCCCTCCCCACTTCCTATCCACATGTCCCTTTCTTTCAGGGACACTGGATGAGAAGTTGTGGCTGGGGGCACACTGTATTTTCCTCCCTTCCCGCCTTCCCTCCTAGCCCCCAGCCATGTTCTGCTCTGCACCTGAGTCTTTCCTGGGTCTGTAGAAATCAGGGAGACAAGCTGCCAGATTCTGCACCTATGTCCCCACGCTCCCCTCGCCCTGGTGACAGGGAAGCGGAGGCCCTAACATTGGCCCACCTGGGCGCTCTTGCATTGCCAGGCATGCTCAAGGAACGTGCTCAGCTTCCCTGGCCTACCCCCTACCTGCGTGCTAACTCATCTCCAGCTCGTCCTGTATCCTTTTCCTCCTCAAGGAATAGAGGTATAGAACCTTTTTTTGCCTTGTGTGGCCCTAAGCCACCCCTTAGTTCTTCAGGCCGCACTAGCAAAGGTCCAGCGAGACCTGGTTCTAGAGACATGAGTTTTCCTCCACGAGAACTGAGGATGACACTAAATCATGCATCAGAGGCCTAGAAGATTCTTTTCCCAAAGTTATAATCTATGCCACATAGGCTACCTTTCCATGCCACCTACCTTTGCTGGCACTCAGATAAGTCTTGGCTACAGATACAGCTGTTTATTGCAAGAGGAGCCAATAGCTGGACCCTGGCACAGAATGGGGAGAGACAATTGCCCTGAGTCTACCTCAAGTCATCAGCAAGTGATTGCGTCTGAGAGACCATCCTGCCCTCACTGGCTCTGGACCTTGATCCTCTGATCTCTCTGAGTAGCTAGGATGATAGGTTTGAGCCTACCAGTGCCTGGTTCCATTTAAATTAAGTGGTCATTTGGTCAAAAAGGGCCACATGGGAATGAAGGCACCTTGAGTCAATGAATTCAGTGGCTCAGACCCCTTTTGCCAACAGAGGGCATAGCCTCGCTGGGGCAAAAGTCATGAGTTCATGACCTAGCTCTGACCTCCCACGAGTGGGATGTTTGAGGCAGCAGCTGAGCTTGGGCCCCGCCCTGCCCTGCTCAGACGCATGGACGTGGGCACTGTGTTCCTCCTGAAGCCCCAGCCTGGTTGATGAAAAGATGGGACTATTGATAAACCCTCTCTACAAACTCTCTTTAGAGCCTTCACTAGCAGACCTGGTGGGAGGGAAAAGTGCAAAAGCCCCGGTACCCGCTTGGAGCAGAGTGGCTGCTTCACCCCTATTCAGTCAACTTGCGTCACAAACCACCGGTGACCACCAGCAGATCTGAATCAACAGAACCAGTGGGTGCCCCATGTATCCCCTACTTGCCAGTGCCTGCCCTCTTTTCGTTCCCTGAGAGTTTCCAAGACCCCCTCACCCTAGACACAGAGGCACAGGCCAAGTGCAGATGGAACAGGTAAGTTTTATTTGGACTTTCAACTTTCCGAGAGCACAGGGTCCCCTCTCCCCTTTCCAGGCCCCCCCTTCCCCGTGTCCCCTCTCTGGGGAACACTCAGGGTACAATGACATGTGTCTCTGGAGTCCTTGGTCCCTTCCCTGCCCGACTCACCCCTTGACACACACACCCCAGCACTGAGGGTGAGAGGGGCACGGGGAAGGGGCCTGGAAGAGATCTGGATCAGAACGGCACATGCGCTGACAGTCGTGGTTACTGCCACTGGCCTGGGGCTGAGGCCTGGAGGAGGCTTGTAGTGGAGGGTGGATTCATTGTGGGCAGCAGGCTCCTGCGCAGGAGGCTCCCCACCTCAGCCGGGGGCCCCCACAACCTCTGCTCACCTGTCCTTCTGAGGGGACGACTCTGAGGTAGATTTCACAGGGAGAATGTGGGTATGAGGAAAGGGGCTAGCTCTTTTGAAGTTGATCTCCACAGCACCCTGGGCCCATTTCTCAGGTTCTGGCCTCTGAGGCAGGGGCTGATGACACCCACCCAGAAAATAAGAGGCTGAGTCATACAGAGGCTCCAGGGCACCGGTGTCAGGGCTCCAGTGTGGGGGGGGGGACATCTGCTTGATGATCTGTGCCTCAGTGCCAGGGGTGCCAGGAGGGGGGGCCTGGGAGGCTGGCAGACAGCCCTGCAGCCTGAGGGCAATGGCACAGGGCCTCCAGCCCCAGGACAGCCTCTTTGGGATGGTCCTCCCTCTCCTCTTCCTCTCTCCCTGTTCCTCAGGGCGGGTAGAGGGGGAGAACAGGGCTGGCCTCCAGGGACTGGCAAGACATAGGATGCCTCCTTCCCGCAAGGCCGGCCATGGGAGACAGGATCTGCATCTCTGTGCAGGGCAGGTGCTGGCCCCCACTGGGAGGTGCTCCCTGGAAGAGCACAGCCTGGGTCACAGAAGGGCATTTGAGGGAGGGCCTCAGGAGCTCCAGGAGTTATCTGAAACCTTCCCCTTCCCCCAGGCCCCAGCACTAGATACCTCCTAGGATCTGATCCTGTTTGAGAAGGACAGAGGGAGAGGCCTGGGGGTATGCCCCTCCCCATCTCCCTCAGAGAATTCCCCCATCTCCCCAGTGGAAACTGGGCGGATGGGGGAAGTCTTGTCTGACCTCCTGGGAAAAGCCAGAGCTGAGTGGTGCCTGGGCCAGGGAAGATGGCACTCACATTGACTCAGTAGCTAGTGGAGGTATCTGGGGACCGTAAGGGGCAGGGGCCCCCCACGAGATTCATGCAGCATTCAGTGAGTTTTGGGGGTGATGAGAGAGGACAGAGAAACAGCCAGATAGGGGGAGGTGCCCTAAATCTTGCTGTTCTCCAGGTGGGAGTCAATGTGTTTGATGAGGGCATCATCTGGGTACCCGACAGGGAAACCCAGCTGGCAGAGGGGGCAACTTCGGATGTCAGAGCCCACGGTCTCCATCAGCAGCTGTGGGGAGAGGAGGAGTTACTTATGCTTTCCACATCCTAATTTCCCATTCCCAAGATCCAGGACAGCGAGAGCTGCAGCATGCAGAAGAGGGTCTAAGAACCCTTTCTCCAGCACCATCCTCCCAGCCACCAGCTTAGCCATTTGCCTGCCCGCAGCACAGGTCCCCAGGAAATGTATGAGAGTCACTGCTACAGGAGTCACTGCTCAGCTGCCCGGGGCACCTACAGTAATGAGGGGAGCCGAAGCCCAGACATGCTCCCAGAGTGACTAAGACCGTTAACTCCAGAGGACTCAAAGCACAGAACAATCCCAAACTATGTATAATCCCAAAATAATTTTGTCTGGCTGTGGAATGTATTTTGGTCCTTTCAGATGACAAGGGCTAGCTAGTTGTGACATTCAGGAAACTCATTATTTCAGTGATGTGATGGAGCCCTGAGATATGATGTCTTCCAGGACAGATGGAAGACAGGGGCTCTGAAGCCTGGAGAAGGGAAGCAGAGAGTCTGGTGGGTCCCTTGTGGGTCCAGGTGCCCCACAGCCTTGAGTATGCCTACCCCACCCAATACAGGGTGTTGGAGGCACACATGCTGCAGACTACTTTAGGTTCAGATTCTCTTCCTAATAAAGAACATTTCTCTGGTAATTCAAGTTTTGAAACATCGTGGCCTCCATTTTATGGGTGGGAAGTTGAAGATCAGAAAGTGTAACTTGTGCCGGGCGCTGGTGGCTCACGCCTGTAATCCTAGCTACTCAGGAGGCTGAGATCTGAGGATCGCGGTTCAAAGCCAGCCCGGGCAGGAGAGA